ACCTAAGAGCTCCAACCTAAGAGCGATGGTTTCCAACCTAAGAGCCATGGCCTCCAACCTAACTTTCTTTTGGAAGATACTTGCAAACACACTTGGAGACCTGCCCACCGCAAAGTGCCACATGGACGGGATGCACGCCGGAAGCCGCTGCACCAAGAGGCGGCCAAGGGATCCACCACCACCCCATGCCCAGTGAAGCTGAAAGAGGCCAATCCTGAGATTAGACCCAAAAAATGGATTCTCGGCATTAACTTCCCACTCTACTCAGATCCTTGATGCATTTTGAAGCAACTCTTCGATGGATCATGGAAGCTTTTCATGATGAATAAAGTTCTGCTGGCCGTGGCCCTGGACCAAGCCCGACGGCATTCGTGAAGCAAAACGAACGTGACTTGACGGCACCGGGAAGCGTTGCATGGGGCTGTATCTAAGCGACAGAGAAGTGCTTGTCCATCAACACGTCTTTAAGGAACACACCAGTTTTTGACCCAAATCCACCCACGGTTGGTGGCTCCTCCAAGTGGCCGGTGTCTTTCAGGTAGGTGCCCCAAGTCGCTGTGTTCCCAAAAGCGGTGTCCGCCAGCAGCTCCGGCCCCAAGGACTCGGCCCTGAGAGTGAACGCATCGGAGCTGGAACCCGGAACTCAACGAGAGATCCCAAGCCAAAGTTGTTTCGGGTCAGTAACCCTAGTGACCTTCTTGTTACTACTAGTAAGGCACTTGTTTCTACTAGCTTCTTGTTACTAGTAGGTTTGGACTGAGACACGTTGAAACATGCATGAAAACCTGAGAGAAAGACAGGCGACTCCAATAAACAGTTCAAGCGGGAAGTAACGAAAGCTCACAAAACCTAAAGTTCTCACTCCTGGGTGTGAAGGTCCTGTTCATGACATTGCCACCTGCTTTGTATCATTAGTAAGGTTGATATGTAAACTTACTAATCTTTTCTATCGAGGCACGTTGAACTATCGACGCATGTTATGGGTGCTCAGATGGATCTGCAGCACAAATGCAGCTGAAGTCCCAACCCAGGAAAACCACCTGGTTTGAACTGCCTTGTTAAATTGGGGCAGAAAACTGATTGGAAAATGGATTCCCAGCCGCAAAAGAAAAAATCAGATCTTCAAACACTATATTTCAGGTGATGCAAAAAAATATGAAAAAAACAAAGGTTTAACACCAATGAACTCAACCACGGCATCAAAGCCAGAGCTTCCTTGCAGGCGAACTTGGATGGTCAAATTCTTTCTTTTGTGCTGGGCAAACTTCAGTTTTGAAGTTTTTGGCAAAGCTTACCTTGGTGTACCCCTCTCTGGACGAAACACAAAGTCGGAGTGTGAAAAACATGCTTATATAATCTAGAATCAGAAAATGCTGACTTCATAGTAACAAGTGCCACGCTACTAGAAACAAGTGCCTTACTAGTAGTAACAAGAAGAATTTGTTGCAGGTGCAATCTGTCGCACTTTACGACAACCACAAACAAGCAGTCTTGAAAAATTGGCAGCGCGGAAGAGGAGAATGGATTCATCACACTTGTGAACTTCACTACTACTAGGAGCAAGGACGCTATGAACGGGGCTCCTGGCATCACTACTAGGAGCATTCTTCACTATTGGCTGCTGATTCAGTTGCAGTTGTACAGCTGGCCACTTTGAGTAGGACAAGTAGCTGTCATTACATGGGCCAAAGTGGAAGGAAGAAAGGCGAGCTGGCTGGATCACCAGAGCTTGCGAAAACAGGCAGATTCTATCGCCTGCTATGAGTAGCCCACCAAGCAAAAGTATCATTTTTGCTACTCAATCGTCTGCGATCCCCACGTTCAAAACCAAAAGAAGAACTCTTCGCAACCCGCAACCCACAGCCAAATCATCACAGGCACGGGCAACCCCAGATCTCGTTGAAGCCTTCTGCGTCAGGGCAGCTGCCTTCCGCTGGCCTTGACGAGACGCATAAGTGTATGACAAAGCGCTTCAAAGTTTGTGGAGCTCTATGTGACCAATAGCAGACTCAAGAACACATGACACCTAAAACCGCAATCGGATTGCTCAAGTCTCAGGAAATGGTCCACTTTCCCCATCGCATCGCCCACATCGCCCAGTTAACCCCCCCATTCATTGTTTCTGGCATGACGTTTACAGAAAAAAATGCATCACAAAAATTGAAAACACAAAGAAACAAACAACATTGACAGCAAATAACACAAATTGTTGCATGTGTCCACACATGCCTCTCCAACAGCAGCAGCAGCCCTGGCCACCACCAAGTCAACGCAAGTTTGGCCATCCCGCTTGGGCGACACAATTCTTGCTGCAAAGGACCCTTGTGGTCGCTGCGAGTATTTGTAATCTGTTTTGAAGGATGCCAACCCGGTTTTGTTGAAATCATATTGGGATTGAAATTGTCGGTTTGCAAAAAAACAATGGGTGTTAATTTTTCGCAATACATTGCAATCTTGTGCACGTGGAGCACTGGTCTTTGAGCATGCACACCCTCATTGGCAAGTTGCTGGGTGTGTTGATCACAAAAATTTCATGTCAGCATACAGTTCTACTATATATCGTGCCGCAACTTGAAGCAAACCTAGTTGTTGCGAAACTGTGAACTACACTGAGCAGTTGAACTGATGAGACCAACAAGCCATGAAGCACGTGTGCATAGTCCTCTATACTACGCATCGTTGCCTGGAGCCCAGGGCAACTCTCCTTTTGAGCCATTCTGGCAACCAACCGAAACAAATCTGTTGAAGCTGGGCCTGGAGCGGCTATCCTGGCCCCAATTGACCACACCCAACTGATTCCCCTGAAATGATCGCGACACCGTGGTCACAAACATAAACGGTGACGACTTGTCAAGGTTGGATTGAAAATTTTTTTGGGCTGATCATTCCTCCTCAAGCCACGTCCATCAACCTCTTGCAGGGATTGCGATGGGTTCGCACAGTGACAACATTGTTTCCTCTGCAGTTATTGACGAAAACTTCGAACCCAAATTTATTCCAAAATGAAAAATCATTTAGAACCTGCCCCCTACTGGACACATGGAACCAGTGATGAATGGACACATTGAACCTTTTGAAGATTGCACATTCAGAACCTGTTAGAGGATGAATCGTTTTTGAACGTTGACAGATCCTCAACTGTTTCATTAAAAATGTAGTTGGGAAAAGCACCAAACTTAAAACCTGCTTCAACATGAAAGCATAAAGAACACTGAACTGAATTTGAAGCCCATGATGATTTCAGGCCTGCAGCAAGCCTGTGAAACCTTGCCATGTGGATTTACTGACATCATAACACCTTGCCAGCTGTGACAAAGCTGCCCTAGTCTGAACAACCCAATGTGTGCCATGATGTGGAAAGAATTGCACACTTTTGGTGGTCATGTTTCCGGCAAAAGAACACGGTCACACGCACCCATCTCCACCGGTGCACACTGCAGAAACATCCGCCGTCAAAAGACTAAATTGATCACCGAAAACGCCAAAAACCACACCGTTGCCTGAATGCCTGACTCGTGATCAGGTCTTGAAGATGCATTCAACTCTGAACCCGAATCGTGGACCACAAGCATTGCAGGGGCTCGATCAACCTCCTTAGGGTCCCCAGCGGAACGCTAATGAGCTTCCAGGCTGGTGTCTGGGCCAGAGGATCCCTGAAAAACCTAATACCTTAAGTAAGTAGATTACAAACGTCCTAAACACAAAACGAAAGCACGTGCAACAGCTCACAAGCAACGCGAAAGCACTCGCACACCTTTTACGCGCACTCTCTGGGCCTTGAGCCAAAGTTAAGTGCAAAAGGCTATGAAGTATCCCTGCATACAAGACGTTCCCATGCGAGACACTGAAAGTGTCGAGCTTAAATGCATTCAAACACGCACACAACTGTTCAAGAAGCATTCACATTACAAAAGCTACAAAGACTTCTGTTCACAAAGCTTCTAAACATTGTACATTCCGTGAGCTATGCTCTCCAAAGCTCTCAAAACACTTCGAAACACAAAGTTCCTGCAAGGAACGCTTGCTCAAAAATTGGAAATGCAAAACCTCACAGCTAAGGCTTCACAAAGCACTTAGACATGAACGCTACTGTTTTCAAAACAGTTGTTCTGCACACATTTGGTTGTAAACTGACCTCGCCACTAGTGTGGCACGGCCAGACACTTTCACGCCCCCTTTCGAGGTCAAGTGTCAACATCATTCTGCTGCTTGGGACTCTCCTCATGCCTCGTCTTCAAACACTTCTTGCAGAAATGAAGTCGCGACAAAGCACGGCCTTTGGCATAGCTGCAGAACGGTGTCAGGTGTAACACTGTTCCTTTCTCAATTCGGTAGTATGACTCATGCATATCAAGCCAATCTGCGAACACTGGCGGGACCAGATCGTTCACCTCAACGCTCATATCTCTTGTACTCTTTCCCATTGACTCAAGCTGCTTCCTCGAATCAACACTCACTTGCACTGATCGGCAACAAAGCTTCGTCAGAATTCCTCCAACGAACATGCCACTCACAAAAATGAGAGTACACACTCAAACTCTCGCCCATCCACATAAGCAGTAATCACGGCTGCCTCCATGAACGGCGACGAAACGCAAACGCGCGCCCAAATAGCTGCGGATACGAGCAGTCAGCTAGCACAGCAAGCACAGCGAGCTTGAACCACACACAAAACAGAATAGAATAGAAATTACACTCACTCTGAATCTCCAGACCTCCATGGCTTTGCCAATAAGACCTTCTGATCTCCGCTTCCGATCTTCTCTTCAAGAGACATTCGACCGACCTCGAAAACCTCAGACTCGTCAAAGTCTATCTAATTCCTCCGATCTTCGACATTCGACGCTCTTCTCAAAGAAAACCTCGAAAACCAAGACCAAAGACACTCTCTCTTTTCGCGACGTCCTTTCAACTTGATCGACGGAACTGTGCTGCAAAAGAGAAACACCCATCATGGTGTATGATCCATCTCGGACCCTTCTCACATCCGGCAGCATCCGCTCACGCACGTCGTAGGCGTAGCACTGACCAGAAAGCTTTGCTCGGGACAACACCTGCAGCGCTGGCTGGGATCCACACTGCTTTGGGGTAATCCAAAAAGTCTTCCCCTTGAATTTGGTGTTTGCGGTCGTATCTTTTTTTTGCACGGGTGAAGACGCCATGTGTGCAGAGGTTGCACAGGTCATCTTATGCTAGCGAAGAGAGAGTTACGATCCAGGTTGCAGCGAAGAAGACAAAAGAAAGACCAACAAAACCAACACAGAAACCCAACAACACAAAACAAAAACCAAAACCAAGCCCCCAAAAGACAAACTGCAACCTGGGGTGTAGCTCAAGAGGCCGTGTAGGTGAAACAGGGGCGATGAATTCGGTTGGCTCTCAGTCCATCTCCGCCACCATGGAGTGCTGGGTTTCATTCCTTGCGACAGCGTGACTCCTCTCTTGATGCTGGCTTGTTGCGCTTGTCAATGACGGCGCGTCCTGAAGCAGGACACTATGGGCGAAATTGCATCACGAGAGCTTTTTGGAGGGCATTGGAATGCCTTGCAGGCAGCTTTTGGTTCATGCATCATTGGGTATCTAGAGACGTACCATACTGCAGGGTGCTCGCAAGGCAGCATGGATATGGCTCAGAGGAAAACCACTGCTAGCAGCTTACAAAAGCTTCAGACTGTCGCCGGGAGTCACAGAAAGACAAGCGTCCCATGTAGGTCGAAAGGGACTAACTGGCAGCTCAGTGGGAGCTGCTTGGTGCGCATCTTGTTGCGCAAGGCAAGTGCATGTGCAAGGCATGAGCAAGCCATCAGTCGAGCGTCAGGGAAACAAAGGTGAAACGCCTTTACCCTGCATCTAATGTGCCTCAAATGCCTGTACTCTTTGTACTCATCCAGGACCGACACTAAGGTGGCAGCCTGGGCGCTGTCTATCTACGCTGTTGCGCTGTACAGAGAGTCGTCAGAGGCGAAAGGGCTGATCTGCAGGACCGACACATAGGTGCCAGCCTGAGACGGGCAAGCAATGTCAGTGTAGGTTCCTGCGTAGCTCATCGTCAAATGCTTCGGCATTGAATGTCCTACTGCTCCCTTGATTCAACGGTATTTTTTGCACGAGTCGAGGCGCTATGTGTGCAGGTTCTGCACAAGTCACCTTAGTCGAGTTAAGAAAGAGTTGCTATCCAGGTTGCAATCCATCAGAGAGACAAACAAAACAAAACAAAGAACAACCTCCAAGCAACCAACAACCAGAAACCACAACCCCCAAAGGAACCCCAGACCAAGGAAACAACCTGTTGCGCAACTCTTGGGGTCTTGCAGAGAAAGTGAGCGAGGGTGAGACAGGGGCAATGAATTCCGCAAAGCACTCAGTGTATCTTGTCCTTCAACAAACTCGTAAGTGCCTGCGTCATCTTGTTCTAGTGGCAGGGGGCATAACGAAACGACCTGCTGCAGGCAAAGGCGAAGAAAAGTGTGTCCTTGAAAGCTTAGCGAAAGCCCTTGACAGGCATCAGTGCGTAGCCTGAGAACTGTCCTGTGAATAGCAGGTCCTCCAACATCAATATTGGACCCACTGCTTGTCAGCTGGACCCTTTTGCGCACACGGTGATCAGAGGCTCACTGTTGGCATGATGTGGCAACTAGAGGAAGACCATTGCACTTGTGATCGTCATTTCCAAAATAGAAAAGCAAGGGGCAGTGTAATGCCACTCTGCGGTGTAGTACACGTGAGCCACAGGAAAGTTGCCTGTCCCGTTCCCCCCCAAAGGGGGGAGAGGCAACAGAGGGAAACACAGCATGATGAGGGGGAAGAGAACACAAGCAACCCCAAAACCAAACAAGAACCCAAACACCAGAACCGAAACCAAAACGCCACCAAGGGCCAGAGGCCGGTTCCCCCTCATCAAAAGGTGTTTCCTCTGTGCTAGTGAGACAATTAAAAAGTCAAAACCTGACTGTGAACTGACTATGGCGAAAAGCTCCGGGTAGCTACCTTACACGGTAGACTACCTACCTTCCCTGGATCTTTAGCTCACAACAGGCTCTCTCACACTCGTCCGGTACGGAACGAAACCTTTCTCTCAAACCTCCGAATACTTCGGAAAACTTCAAACGCTGCACTAGCTGCTCTCAGACACTCGCACCCTTTTCTCACACTAGCCAAACGAATTGGCCTTGAGCCAAAACATATCCCGTAGCATTAAACTATACAAAGAATACACGAAAAAACATCTTAAAAGTCTCTTAAAGCATCTCCACACACAAAGAACTCTTTCAAAACTTCCGACCAC